ACCCTGTGTCTACCCTAGCCGCTGCCTGGAGCCATCCCTGCCTCGCCCCTACTAGCTCTTGCTACACATGCGCCAGCAGCAGCAGCGGCTCCGACTGCTGCTGCTCCCGCCGCAGCAGCAGCAGCTAACCCAGAGTTGCTGCAATCTACGCTACACCCAACCCCCCGTCCGCGTGCATACTCTGTTGAAGCGTAAAGAGCCAGAGGCCAAAGTTCGAGGATGCAGCAGCTAGCCAGAGCGGCTAGCCAAAGAAAGACAGCTAGCTGACTGCGAAGGGGTGGTTGTTGACGTCCTCAAAACAAGCCCTGGCTAGCCAGCTAGCTACCGGAGTGCAGAGCGACGCCTTTGCATCTGGCGCAGGCGGCTCCCTGCTGGCTGCTACGTATCTAGCTAGCTAGCTAGCTAGCTAGCTAGCTAGCTAGCTGGCTAGCCGCACGCCCCCCCGAGATGTCAAAGGTGTTGGTACTTTTCTGCGCTGTCTAGAAGCTGTACTGCGGAGCTCTGTGTGCATATATTTGGCTGCGCCTTGCAGCAGCAACAGCAGCAGCAACAGCAGCAGCAGTATCAGCAGCAAATATAAATCATAGTTCATCGTGCTGCATATCTTCCTCTTCTCCTGGTCCTAAACTTATACCCTTGAAGGGTAGATCAATACCTTCATACTCTTCTGGGAATCTCAGCAGTTCTCCGTTGTCAGTGAGCATAGATACAGAGAAGGTCTCGAACTTAGTGGACCATTGGTCCTTGCTTATCTTACCATCCTCCATCTCTGCTGCCAAAGACTCCATCATCTGCTGCAGGTCGTGGGCGTGGGGGTCCTTTATTACAGCCCGCAGCTCCGCCTCATCTATCTTTCCGTCTCCATCTTTATCATAAGAAGAAAACTCACGCGTTAACTCTTCCTTCTCGGGGTCCGTCAATGTACCTATACACACACACATACATACCCTGCTGCTGCTGCTGCTGCTGCTGCTGCTGCTGTTGCTGCTGCTGGGGGGAGGCGGGGGGGNGGGGGGGGGGGGGGGGGGGGGGTGAGTCTGAGGGTGAAGCTGCTGCTGCTGCAACGGGATATTGCTGCAAGATGAGCAGCAACAAAAACAACACAATCAACAAGTGCAACACATGCTGCTGCTGCCGCGGATGCTGCTGCTGCTGCAAGGCTACTGCGGCTACTGCGGCTGCTGCTGCAGCACCTGCAGCAGCTGCTGCTGCTGCTTTGGGGTTTGGCTCACCACCTTCGTTCTGGAGGAATTCTTCTAGGGAGATGCTGCCGTCTTTGTCTTTGTCTTGCGCCTGAACAAAGCAATACACCACCACAGCATACAAACCCTAAACCCTAAACCCTAAACCCCAAACCCTAAACCCTAAACCCTAAACCCTAGACCCGCATAAACCCTCAACTCACTGCCATGATTTCATCGACCTCAATCTGCATCAGCACTTCGTCCTTTCCAGGGTCCATAAGAATCGTAACCTCTTCGAGACTGAGGCTTCCACCTGTGTGCAAACCCTAAACCCTAAACCCTAAACCCTAAACCCTAAACCCTGAACACTAGACCCTAAACCCCCAAACCCTTGTCAGCAGAGGAAAGACAAAGTGTATTCGACGTACTCTTGTCCTTGTCAACGGCGGCAAACCTCTTTCTCACATCCTCCTGAGCAGCAACGCAGCCGCCATAGCACAGCACGCAAACCCTCACCCCAAACCCTAAACCCTAAACCCTAAACCCTCGCGAGCATCCCCATCAATGTTCTATGAGCTGCCGGGAAAACCCTCGACCACACCCGCCGTAGACCGTACCCTTACACTAAACTCTAAACCTAAGTAGTAATAGCTGGAAACCCTCGAAAACTCTTCTGCAAGGGTTTAGGGTTTAGGGTTTAGGGTTTGTGTTGTTTACCTTGTGTGCCTCCTGGCTGGCTGGGTCGCTTCCGTCAGTGTACGTGACCTCTAATTCTTCGAGTGTAATTTTTCCGTCGTTGTCTTTATCGATAGAAATGAATTCTTGTTTAACTTGGTGTTTATGCATAGCCTCCTTCAGGCGTGTGCTCCAGGCCTGTGCCTCTTCTGTGGTGATGACCCCGTCTCCATTTGCGTCTACAAGAGAGAAAATAATTTCCATTCTGTTTTTTATTTCACTTAAACTTAACTGCATCAACTCCGCCAGTTTCTCCCCGGATAGCTTTGGGCTCGCTTCAGGTGTACAGACAGCTCCAGACACCGCAGCGGCAACCGCTGTCGCCGCCAGAGAAACAGAAACCTTCATTTTCAAGAAAAAAAAGAACAATATGCAGCAAACACACACTATTTAATAAATCAAAAACAAAAAACATAAATGCTTAACAGAAACAAACCAAAACAAACACGCCTGCATTGCCGCAACGCGAGACAGCACAGCGCACAGAGCGCCGTACACAAGCCCCGACCTAAACGCTAAACCCTAAACCCTAAACCCTAAACCCTAAACCCTAAACCCTTAAATTAATTCAACACCGGATCTATAAGACGCAGACAAGGGTTTTCCTTTGAATGAGTTGCTGCTGCCACCCTGCTGCAGCACTGCAGCAACAGCTGCAACTCCATACGTGGTTATCTCCCTGGCCCCGGGTGTCTGTACAGCTCTCATCTGCTTAGTACCAAGCCCTAAGCCCCAGGCCCTGGGTTCTAACCTCTAACCCGCTAAACCCTAAACCCTAAACCCTAAACCCTAAACCCCACGGACCGCCCCCGACACCTCTGGATGCGTACCAACATCGCCACGGAAACCCTAAACCCTAAACCCTAAACCCTGAACCCTCATCGCCTACACATTTGACGGCGTAGCCCGCCGGCTTCGCTATCGGGCGTGCAGGGAGGGAAAGGGCTCAAACCCTAAACCCTAGGGTTTGTAACTGGGGCTTAGAATTCAGGGTTTAGGGTTTAGGGTTTAGGGTTTAGGGATGCAGACGAATCCGCTGCCCCTCGGTCGCAGGGCGCAGCTACTCAAGCCGCGAACCCTCTGGCAGCGGCCCGACCTGCTGCCGTTTGCTGCTGCTGCGCTGCTACTGCTGTTCCTCGCTNGCGAACCCTCTGGCAGCGGCCCGACCTGCTGCCGTTTGCTGCTGCTGCGCTGCTACTGCTGTTCCTCGCTGTTGGGGAGCATGATGCAGCAGACCAGGCTGCAGCAGCAGCAGCAGCAGCTGCTGCTGCTGCTGCTGCTGCGGCAGTGAAAGAGGGCGCTGCTGCAGGCGTAGCAGCAACAGCAGCAACAAAGGATTTGCCACCCGCTTCAGCAGACCCAGCTTTCGCTGCTGCAGCAAATGTACCGGCTGCTGCTGCTGCTGCAGCAGATGCGTCCTCAGCAGCAGCAGCAGCAGCAGCAGCAGCAGATGCGTCCTTAGCAGCAGGTGCTGCAATGGAAGAAGCGGATGA